GGGACATCTAGATACAAGCCATACCAGTCTTTAAGACAGATCTTATCAGAAGTTCTCCCAAATTTCAGATATGCTATAAAGGACTAGCACACTGTCCTCAACAATAAGTTGTGAATAACTGACGGCTCCATAAACCTATCCCCTACTGCACATACAAAGTGAAGCAAAGCGCAGGCTAGTGTGATGTGATCACTTCCTCCATGTGATCTCCTGTGCCTTCCCTCCTGTTCTCTGGTGGAGAATTCTGTGTGCACTTCTGTGTCCCACTGATGACGTGGCCCACTGGGGTTCTCAAGGGGCAGGGGCTGCGCTCTCTGGGTTCTTGGACCAATAAGTTAGGAGAGTGAGCTGAGCACTTCATGAATCCTCCCAGTGCTGGGGACCAAACCCAAGGCCTTGTGCAAGGCCTCTGCCCCTGACCACACCCCTACCCTAATTTAGGAGTCTTTAAAAATAGCTCATATTACCAATATTTTACAACTATTTGAAAAAAATGGAAATGCTTGCAATGCTTAACCAATTTGAGAGATCTGGCTGGGCTCTGCTACAGCTCAGTAATGTGACCAGTGGGAGGGAGGGGATTGTGGTGAGTGCCTTTGGGGCGATCTTCTACAAGTTTAAGGGGCAACTTTGACATTTTCTATGAGTGTCTTCAAATTTTTTTTAATTAATTATTTATTTATTTGGTACTGTGCAGCTCAGACTGGTAGCGATCCTCCTGTCTCAGCCTCCCCCGTGCTGGGATTACAGGCGTGCGCCTCCAGGCCTGGTTTCAGTGGCCACATGGAGCAGGGATTGAACTTGGGCCCTTGAACTTGCCAAATAAGTGCTTAGATGGCTGAGCTATCTCTCCAGTCCTATAAGTGACTTAAAGGCACATTTATCCCAATGAAACCAACATGTTTCTCTCAGAATCCTAACAGCTGTCAGGGGGTCACAGTCATAGCCATGGAGAGAAGACCTGGATTTTGGAGAATGCATCTCAGAGGACCTGTTCTCACTGCCTTCTCTGGAGATTACTCCTGGTGTGCTGTCAGAACTGTGCGTCTCAAAGGCCCAATCCACCCTAATTCTGGAGGGGTTCTCCCTCCCCTTGTTTTGCGCATCCCTTATGCTTAACTATTACTTAAGTGTTTGCTTATTGCAGGGTGTGGGGAAGGACCTTTTGTACCAAACTGCAGGTCTTTGTTCTGAGAGTTGAAATTTCTCTTTTTTTCCTGCCAGTTGTACATGTTATGCACACATATAACTTGGCTTCTAATTCAACTAAGAGGGCCAGTGGACTAAACACCTACTTAGGGACCGGGATTCAACCCCCAGCACCATAAGCCACGCCGGCCCCACCCCTGGGCACACTGAGCCGGCCACCAAGAGGGGGCCTGGTATTGCACACCTGTAATCCCAGCGCTGGGGAGGCTGAAGACAGGAGGATCACTACAAGTCTGAGCTGAGCTGCATAGTAAGAGCCTGTACCAAATGCATTAAAAAAGGAACAAAACTAAACAAGCACAAGGACTGGAGTTCAATTCCTGATACCACGCTGGCCATTGAAACCAGGTGTGGTGGTGCACACCTGTGATCACAGCACGGGGGAGGTTGAGCAAGAAGATCACTACAAGTCTGAGCGGCCGGAGCGAGACCATGTACCAAATAATTAAATCAATATATATTTTTTAAATTTAAAAAGACAATCATAGTGTCAATGTTGCCCCTTTAACTTGTAGAAGATTATCCCAAAGATGCTCACCACGAAACAAAGTGCAACCGAGAAGTTCTCCAGCCCTTGATCCTCAAGTAAGTCATTCGTCTCCCTAGAATTTCTCTCCGTTATCTGGATTTGTTCTGAGGAAAAGTGGTTTGTGAATGCTTGAAAGCATACATTTCACCCAACTATTACAGAACGCCTGTTGGTACACGATTCTATGTCGAGAAAAAATCCCTTCATCCTTCCGAAAATGTGAGAGTTTTATCTGGACTTTTACAAGATTAAAAAAAATAATAAAAAAATAAAAATGGAAGTGCTGGGAGTCAGGGCCAAAGTAAGACCCACGGAAGCGAGGGTGCTGCGCGGGATCCTCCTGCCGGCTCCCGGCTGAGGCTGCTCCCACAGGGACCCCGAAACAGAACTATGAGGGGATAAATTCCAGGGTCTTGGCTTTTCACAAGACGAACTATGACTTCAATATGTGTTCTTAAAATTTGACTTGTTTTAAAAGATTTTGTTGTTTGCCTCTCTTTGGCAGCGCCTTTTACATTTGCGTCTCAAAGTGGCGCCCAGGGGAGCGACTTTATTCATAGGCGAGGGACGCAGAGGCTTGGCCACGCTTGCCGCATGGCTCCGCAGGCGGCTGCACTTCAGGCGCGGGACACACTGAAATTCCGGCTGTCTCTGCAACTCGGGGTGGGTGAGAGCTGGCGAAAAGCGGCAGCCACAGGC